GGGGCTGGCACGCTCCAGGGTCTGCGTTCACCCCCCAGCGGCCTGTGCCCCCCAAAACCAGCCTTCACCAGGCCCCAGGGTGGCGTGTGGTACCTCTAGCTTGTGCGAAGCCGAGGAGAGGGCGCCTGGGGCAAGGCTGGAGGCTGCGAAGACCTCGCTGAGCTCCACCTCCTTCTTCTCCAGGAGGCTGAGGAGGCCTTTCAGCTTGCGCTCCAGGAGCAGGTTCTTGAAACCCGTCTTCTGCTGCACCTCGTTAATGGCTTTGGTGAACTTCTGGTAGAGCTCGTCTCGCTCTGCCTGCACCTGCACCCGAAGCCAGCACGTCAGGGACCCCCCAGGCCAGCAGCCACCTGGCGCTGGCACCAAACAGGTCCGGCAAGACCCAGCCATTGCCACGGTGCCTGCAGCCCACAGGAAAGCTGCTGGAGCAGAGCTTGGCTGGCACTCACCCTCTGAGCACCTGCACTGCCGCTCTCTCCACCCCACCACGCCCAGGACCCCACCACAGCAGCAGAACGTGCCAAAGGGCTCGTCCTGGGAGGATTTTAGACCTCAGAGAAGGGCCCCATGGCACACAGGGGTCTCTCCTCTGCTCCCCGCTGCTGGCAGGAGGCCCTGGCCCACAGTTAGTTAATAAGTGTCCTAATTAGGCCACAATCTCTCCTCCGCAGCCTATTTCTGAATGCGCCAAATATGTTGCTGCCTTAATGATGGATCGTTAACGAGGCCTCAGATCAATGTTCATATTCCTGGGGATTTCTACGAATTGCAAATGAGCTCTTTTCTTGCCTCAACAGATTTATCTGGGTTAGGTGGGAGGGGGAAGTGAGGCCAGCTCTGGGAGAACTCAGCCGACGGGACTCAGCCCGAGCAGCCCCGGCCTGGCAGGCGTGGGGAGCACCCCCCAGAATGCTGCTGGGGGGAGCCCCACGGCTCGGCCCCTGGCAGCCCGGGAGGGGTTGGCTGGAGCGTGCTCCGTGGCTCAGCACGGGACGAGGCCAGGCCTGTCTGCTGACCCAGGGAGACAGCAGTGCTGCCAGCAGCTTTGCTGGGAGCAGCAGCTACTGCACGGCGCTGGATTAGAGCTCTGGAGAGCCCTCAGCTAAGGCTGGACTGGCTGCTCAGCCACCAGGCACAGTCCCTGGCAGCCCGGGAGGGGTTGGCTGGAGCGTGCTCCGTGGCTCAGCACGGGACGAGGCCAGGCCTGTCTGCTGACCCAGGGAGACAGCAGTGCTGCCAGCAGCTTTGCTGGGAGCAGCAGCTACTGCACGGCGCTGGATTAGAGCTCTGGAGAGCCCTCAGCTAAGGCTGGACTGGCTGCTCAGCCACCAGGCACAGTCCTCTGTGGAAGGGACGGGGTTTGAGGGGGGGAAGGGGATGGCCAGACCCACCCCAGCACTCACCTTACTGAACCTCTGCTCCAGCACTTCATGTTCCCACCGAAGATCCTTCAGTTCCTTCTGGGCAACTTTCAGATGAGCTTTGGTGTTCTGTGAGAAGGGAAGGACAGTTAAAGAGCAGGGGGTTCTCCAAGAGGTTTTTGGGATGTGTTCTGGCAAGGGAGGAGAGCAACTCAATGACAAGGACAGGCTGAGAGACCTGGGATTGTTTAGCCTGGAGATGAGACTGAGAGGGGATCTGACCAATGCTGATCAAGAGCTAAAGGGCCCCAGGGGGCAAGAGGCTCGGGCCAGACTCTTGGTCTCTTGCTGGTGCCCAGTGACAGGACAAGGGGCAATAGGCACCAACTGGAACACAGGAGGTTCCACATGAACAGGAGGAGAAAATTCTGTCCTGGGAGGGTGCCCCAGCCTGGCCCGGGCTGCTCAGAGAGGTTCTGGAGTCTTCTGCTCTGGAGAGATTCCAAACCTGCCTGGACACCATCCTGAGCACCCTGCTGTGGGTGAGCTGCTGGAGCAGGGGAGCTGGATGAGATGATCTCCAGAGGTCCCTCCCAACCCCAATCATGAAGAGATTCTCTGAGAGTGACCAGGAGAGATACAGGTGAGAAAAACCAGGCAGCACCCACACCAACTCCTGTCCCTCTCTGCAGTGGGGAATACGCCAGTTTCTCTGCTGCCAGAATCCCATCTGAGATCTTACCTAAGCTGAGAGGGACCCAAAGGGCCTGGCTCAGTAATCTGGCCAAGCCAAGAGGTCACTGCTGAGTGACTCCCTCCAGGAAAGAGCCAGGGCAAGGACATGGCTGGCCACTCACCATCAGGGCCTCCTTGTCCATGTTGTAGTGGGCCAACTTCTTCTGCAGCTCAGCCACCTGCTCCTGGGCCTCCTGCAGGGGCTCCTTCAGCTGCTTGTTCTCCAGCAGCACATCCGCCTTCTCCTTTTCCAAGTGACTGATTCTCTTCTTCAGCTCCTCTATCTGCTCCTGTTCTTGGGAACACAAGCGATAGCTGCTGTGAGCTGCCCATACCTTCTGGACACACTCTTGCCACTGGCCCAGCAAGACACATCCCCCTGTGCTCAAGAGCTTAATGGTGTATGACCCTCAGGAGACCAACAGCACGCGGGGAAATGGCCAGGTCTGGGTGAAACCCTCACAGGGCCAGTCCCCTGGGGGACAGGTGACACTCTGCCAGCTGTGGCGGTACCTTCAGCAAGCTGATGAGAGCCAGGTTCTTCTGGGTGATGTCGTTGTAGTAGTTCTTGATCTCCTGGAAGGCCTTCTCGTGGTTCCTCATCAGCTCGCTGATCTGGCTGTTCTTCATCTCCTCCACCTTGTGGATCTCGGTCTTCCTCCGCAAGTCAAGCTCGTCCCGCAGCGTTTGCATCTTCTTGGTGTACTTGGCCTCGATCTCTGGGGGAGGGCACAGGGTGAGGACCTCCCAGAGACCCCCCTGCTCCCCCAGCCAGCCCAGCGCTCGAGGATGAGCCGCTGGGCAGTGGTGTCACCGCAGCTGCCACCGGGACCACGTGGGACCAGGGAGGGAGCGGGGCCCAGAAATAGCAGCCTTGGAAAGAGGGCATGGAAACGCTCCAAGTCACCGTGGGAACCCGAAACGTCCCCGAGGAGGACGCCGGAGCGAGGACTCTGCAAGGGCTCCTCAGCCAGCCCACCCCGCAGCCTGGGGAAGGGGGCAAAAAGGCCAGAAGTGGGGGGAAAAGGGGCCAAAGATTGGAGAAAAAATGACCAGGAATTGGAGGGAAGATGACCAGAAGTGGGGCTCAAATGGGCCAAGAACCAGGGGAAAAAAAACCCAAACCTTTTGCTTGTCTCTCAAAGTCGCTGCGCAGCCGCGAGACCTCCTCCTCGTGTTTCTGTCGGGGATAAGCCACGTGATAGATGTGGACAAACGAATCCCAAGTCAGCCACATCCTGAGGGAATCCCTCCTGCTCCCTGGGACAGGGACTGACCCCATGTTATCCATGCAAACGGTTCCTTGCAGGCTCTGCAGCCGCCCTCACAGCTCCCTGCTGCGGGAGTTGGGTTCCCTGGAGCTGCCCCAGGAATCCCTTCCCCCTGTTCCTGCGCTTTCCAGCATCTCCATGCTCTGGGTGCTGGTGCCTGCAGGATGCCACCCACAGAAAGGCCACCCCAGTGCACACGGTGGGGCTGGGAGGGCTCCTCAGCACCTCCCTCGGGCGCAGCTGCGGCCCGCCGGGGACCTACCAGGCGCATGTTCTTCACCACCACCTCGCTGGCCAGCTCCTGCTCCTTCAGCTCCACTTTCAAGGAGCGCATGTCTTTCCACAGCTCCATCTCCTGGGTCCAGTGAACTTTTTGGGCCCGTGTCATGGACAGGGTGCCCTCTGCTTTCAGCTCGCTGAGGTTTTCCTGGTGTTCGTGCAACAAGTGCTTCACCTTCTGCTTGTAGACCTAAAGACAAGTCACGGAGCGAGTGAAGGGCTATGAGATACCCGCTAAGACACTCCTGGCTTGTATCCTGCTCGGCTTCTCCTCCTCTTCCCCCTTCTCTCTTCCTGCCCAGAGCTGCCCGAGGCTCACCCGGAGCTCGGGGTGCTCACACCACCTCTCAGCCTTCCCCTACCTTGATCTCCACTTGGTGCCTCTCCTCGGCCTCCTCCATCTGGCGGTCCTTGCTGCGCAGCTCGGCCTTCCTCTGCTCCAGCTCCCGTCGGGTGAGCTCCCAGCAGGCCTGGGCCTCGTCCCGCTCCAGCTGGAAGTAGTTCCGCTCCTGCCGCTCCCGGTCCAGCTCCTCCCGCAGCCGCTCCACGTGCTTCTCCAGCTGCAAAGCCCAGAGCAGAGCCAGGGAGGCCTCGGGCGGGTGCCCCTGAGAGGCACCCACGCGGCAAACCCGCGGGAGGCGGCGGCTGTTAGGGGGAAGGAGAAGTGCAGGAGAGGAGCCCTGACACACGCTGCACCTGACAGAACCCACCAGGCTCTGGAAAGAGCCAGCAAAACCTCACCCTGCTGCCAGCAGCCTGGGCTCAGGTGTTCTGTGTTGGAGTGTCCAGTAAGACCATTCTCAGGGACCTAAATACTGAGTTATGGAACCACAGAATCATGGAATTGTTTCAGTTGGAAAAGACTGTTAAGATCGAGTCCAACCACTCCCCCAGCACTGCCAGGTCCCCACTGCCCCATGTCCCTCACACCACATCTCCATGGCTTGGAAACCCCTCCAGGGGTGGGGACTCCACCACTGCCCTGGGCAGCCTGGCACAGCCCTGGACAACCCTCAAGGGCAAGAAATTGTTCCTCAGGGACAACCTCAACCTCCCCTGGCACAACTGGATGCTGTTTCCACCTGTCCTGTCCCTTGTTCCTTGGGAGCAGAGCCCAACCCCCACCTGGCTCCAGGCTCCTGTCAGGAGCTGTGCAGAGCCAGAAGGTCTCCCCTGAGCCTCCTTTGCTCCAGGCTCAGCACCCCCAGCTCCCTCAGCTGCTCCTTCCCACACTTGGGCTCTAGACCCTTCCCCAGCAGCTTCGTTGCCCTTCTCTGGCCACGCTCCAGCCCCTCAAGGTCCTTCTTGGAGGAAGGGCTGCA